CAAAGATATACACAGTTTGTTTTGGGTGGACTTACCCTTTAAGTTAAGCTTGGATCCCTTGAATACTTATGGACGCATTCATTATTAATAGGAAGTTCAGTTTCTCATCATTTGTATTGTTTCCATTCTCTTCATTCTTTGAGGTGGTTGTAGGAAGTCCAGATGCTCCAGATTTTTATATCTGTCCTTTTCCTGCACTCTTTCCTTTTTTGTGTATGATCAGTCTTGGTCTGGCCTCCATCTGTTCTTCATTCATCAATCAGAAAGAGAGGTCCTGTTTCCACATCTCACTGTGAACGTATTCCATAGATTCTCAGGCCCGGCTTCTTATAACATTTAATAAAAGAATACATACTTGCTGATTCATAGTTTGTTTTTGAGGCCTACACAGCAAACAAAAACACCGAGACATTAAAACAAGGCATTCCAACATAGATGGTAGCTATTCTCTTTTAACCAGCTTCATGAGCACTTAGGGTCATGTCACATGGGTGATTCTGTTGCTGGTGACATACAGTGAAGATTGTCCCCAATAGGAACACAGATGGCATAAGAAAATTCAAATATTTTTATTATTATTCTACATGATTTATTTAGCGTCAACAGTTTACGCAGCGCTTTACAACATAAGGGCAGACAGTACAATTATAATACAAATTAATACAGGAGGATTCAGAAGGCCCTGCTCGTTAGAGCTTACAATCTAAAAGGGAGGTCAAGAGATACAAAAGGAAATAACTGTGGGGGATGGGCTGATGGACAAAATACACGTACAGTTGTTAGGTGGGGAGCAGGATAGGCGTCTCTGAAGAGATGGGTTTTCAGGGATCGTCTAAAAGTGGACAGAGAAGGAGATAGTTGGACACATTGGGGAAGGGAGTTCCAGAGGATGGGAGCGGCTCAGGAGAAGTCCTGGAGGTGAGCATGGGGAGGAGGTGACAAGGGAGCTAGAAAACAGGAGGTCTTGGGAGGAACAAAGAAGTTGATTTGGTTGGTATTTTGAGACCATGTTAGTGATGTAACTAGGAGTTGTGGATGGCTCTATGAGTTGTTGTAAGTATCTTGAATTTTATTCATTGGGTGAGCAGGAGCCAGTGGAGGGACTGGCAAAGAAGGGTGGCAGACACTGAACGGTTGGTAAGTTGGATGAGTCTGGCAGCAGCATTCATGATGGACTATGCAAAGGTAAGCCAATAAGGAGGGAGTTACAGTAGTCAAAGTGGGAAATTACCAGGGAGTGAATTAGAAGCTTTGTGGAGTCATTGGTTAGGAAGGGGCGTATCTTGGAGATGGTGTCGAGGTTGAGGCGGCAAGCTTTGGACACTGATTGGATGTGGGGCAAAAAGGATAGTTCAGAGTCCAGGATTACACCTAACACCCTGGCATGTGGTGACGGGTTGTTGGTTGAGCTGTTGATTTTGACAGAGAAGTCAGTGGAAGGACACGTAGGGGAGGAAATATTATTAACTCAACTTTTGGATAGATTAATTTTCAGGAAGTGGTATGACATCCAGGCTGATATGTCTGTTAGTAGATTATTGATGCGTGAGGAGACTGATGGAGTGAGCTGAGGGGTAGAGAGATAGATTTGGGTGTTATCAGAATAGAAATGGTATTGAAAGCCATGGGAAGCAATCAACTGACCCACAGAGGAGATGTATATTGAGAATAGGAGAGGTCCAAGAACAGAGCCTTGATTAACCCCAGGGAGAAAGGAAGAGGAGAAGAGGAAGTAGAATTGCAAGTGACACTGAAGGTGTGGTGTGATAGGTAGGATGAGAACCAACGAACAGCACAGTTACAAAGACCAAAGGAGTAGAGTTTTTTGAGGAGGAGGGAGTGGTCCACTGTGTCAAAGACAGCAGAGAGGTCCAGGAGTACAGAATAGTGTCCATCGGTTTTAGCCATTAGTAGATCATTTGTAAGTTTGAGGAGAGCAGTTTCCATGGAGTGCTGAGAGCAAAATCCAGACTGAAGGGATTAAGAAGGTTATTCTCAGTGATGTGGTTGCTCAGCTGGTTGTAGACCAGGCGTTCAAAGAGTTTGGAGGAAAAGGGGAGTAAAGAGATGGGTAGTAGGTTGTTAAGATTGGCGGGGTTTAGTGAGGGCTTTTTAAGTACTTGGGTGACTAGTTCATGTTTTAGAGAATTGGGTAAGATGCCGGAAGAGAGGGAGAGCTTGAAGATGTTAGTTAGAGAATGTAGGATAGAGCCAGAGCGTGACCGTAGCTTTTGTGACGGAACAGGGTCTAGGGGACACGTGGTTAGGTGGGCGTTAGAAAAAAGTTTAGCAACCTAATCTATAGTAGTGGCGTTGCATGCAGGAAGTAATGATTGTCCCTGTGGATGTGGAGTGTTAAGTAGGGGAGGTATCTGCGCTTTGGAGGTCTCCTCATGAATTGTATCAATTTTCTTTTTAAGTAATTGGCAATCTCTTGGGCAGTGAGTGAGCCAAAAAGACTGCCAAGTTTTAATTGCTCGGGGGGGCTCTGGACTCAGATCTTTAACCCGTAAAGAATAAAGTCATTGGTTGAGCTTAATGGCTTGGAGTCGACAGCTCTCCGCAAAATGGGGGACCTCCCAAGAAATAAGGGTCACCCAAATTGAGAAGTCCTTTATTATCACATGTAACAATAGGAAAGCAAAAAGGCACCAATGCAGTTTGGGGACCAAAAATCCTTCAGGGCTTAAGCAAGGTAGCAAAATATCTATTTGACTCAAAGCAATGTTCCCGGTTAAAATTCTTGGACAGGAATTTATTAGGAGATCATGACTGCATCAGTGGCCCCTTGCCCACTAATGCAGACATAATCACATATTATTATTGCTCCTGTCCAAGCATTTTACTTGGGAGCTTTGTTTTGAGTCCAATAGATAATAGTCCAATACATTTTGCTACAATACTTGTTAAAGGGGATTTTGGGCCCCACAAAATGCACTGGCTGCCTCTTTGCTTTTCTGTTGTTACTTGTAATACTACTAAAGGACTTTGGACTCTTGAGACAACCATTTTTTAACTCATTTACACATAGATTTCTCAATTGTGACCCTATTTCTTGGGAGGTCCCCCATATTGTTTTATGTAGCGCTACCCCCTTAGGAGTCGCTGAGTGTTGGGTCCCCCTAAAGCTCTGCACAGCCAGGCAACACAGATTTTCTTCCACACTGTTCACTCAGAGTCAGTAAACAGTCCTTGAGCTTGGTTTTTTTGTGATTTTATTAAGGGGTTTGCAACTTGTAATGGGTTGAGGAGTGTATGGGATGCCCAAGGAATCTGCAAACTTGAAGACAAATTCCTTTAGCAACTACTGTATTTACAGATGTGGGCAAAAAAATAGTCTCTCCTTTAAGAGCATTCAAGCTCTCTGGTGTACCTCCTCAGACCCCAGATGAATCCTCTTCACCCAGCTGTACTGAGGGTATTCCCTAGGCAAGAGGGCCCATAAACTGCAGATTCAGGACAGCAGCCCCAGATGAGAAGCTAGTTGGGTTTTCCACCTGACTGCCCTCTCACCTTATCCGATCCAGCGGTTGTAGGAGTACTCAAACTGTCCTCTCCCAATAGCTAAATGGGTTGATGGCTGCCTTCAGGCCTTTTGCTAGGCTGGCTCCTTCCCTGTTGCTCAGGATGTCCTCCCTAGGAGATGGTGGCACAATGGAGATCCTCTTCTCCAGCACCTGCCTGTAGATAGCCCCCCTCACAGGCTCCACACCCCAGCCTCTCACTCCATCTTCCACCCAACACTTTCCCTGCTGCACAAGCTCTGCCACTTTTGAGGGCTGCCCTGGACACGATGACTAGCCTCCTGCCAGGGGATTGGCCAGGTTCCCTCTAACATGCAGATCTGGGCCTCTTCCCCTCCTCTAGCCCTCTTTCAGAAAGTTCTCTAAAATTATGGAGAGGTGGGAGGGCTCTAGAAGCCATGACCTGTTAGAGCCTCCCAGCCTGTCCTGAGGTGACCTCTCTACCCCACTCAAAGGCTGACTCATACCCAGGCTGCTACTCCACCTCTGCCTAAAAAATAAAACAACAAATAGGCTATCTTACTAACCTGGAGGTTGTTACATGTATATCTGCAGAATCCAAGCCATTAGGCTCAACCAATGACTCCTTTTTTGCAAATTAAAGATCTGAATCCAGATCCTCACCTCCACTCATGTAAGAGCAATAAAAACTTGACAGATGATATAACCTCTGCTTTTGCTATGGATAGATGTGTTTATTGATCTCTGTGTGACCCCATGAGATTCTGTTCCCTTCATGTCCCAGTGACCACACAGAAAGCAAGGGATCGTTTCATCAATGGGCACACAGTAACAGAACAAAAAAAAAAAAAAAAAAATCTGTTTTTGGGTAAATGTAATAATATTAATATCTCATCAGTAGAACTTACAGTGCATACATAATAGTTTTACTTACATTTCGATTCAATGCATAGATCACACACACACACCATAGGTCCAGGGGCGGAATGACCATTTGGAAACTCGGGCACTGCTGAGGGCCCGGGGTCAGTAGGGGGCCCCATGAGATGCCCCTGGTACCTCTTTCATAGGCTTTTTTGAGTTTGGGCAAGGACACAGGGGCCCCATGATCCCCTATTGCCCTGGGGCCCCATGAGTTGTCAGTCCGCCCCTGCATAGGTCACAACCCATCAACGCTCCCTTGTCTGTAAAGCACTTATTTTAATACTTGGTAATACTTTGGATTCTGTACTATTTTAGGAAAAATGTTTTGTCTATTGAAACATTTTTCCAGAGGTCACAGAATGTACTGAGAATTTGTGTCACCCGCCATGCCCATCCTGCATGGTGTTGGTCCGTCTCGTGTAGTAGTGCATGCTAAATTGAGATTGGTACATGTTCATTTCTGTCTTTCGTTTCAGCATTTAACTTCTTCCATGTGTTCTTCTCCTCCCTCTTCCTTTTCTCATTTCTGTTATTTTTTTCCCTCTGGTTTCTTGTTTTTTTTTTTCTTTTCTTCCCATGCTGTGACTTAAGCACTGAAAAGACTGCCTTTTATGAGGAACAGACCGAAGGATAAAGACAAAATGAAGGCCCTCTACCGCCGCTCTGTGTGTAAGACATTCAACCAGTTCAGCTAGCTGTTCTTGGCTTCCATCACTAATACCTCACTAAGCTTACCCCAGACTGCGCTGTCTTCCCTAACATGCAAGCTGCAAGTCCTGCCTCCATTGCACAGGGCATTTAAAGGGGAAATATACCAGGGTTTGCGCACAGTGACAGGTGCTCCGGTCAAGGAATTTACAAGCTTGTACAGCGATGCAAAATGCAGTAACCCACAGCAAAAGAATAAACGCATAATGCCAGCCAAAACTTTTATTTTTTCCCATTTGGATCAAGTGAGGAAAAGTTAGAATATAAACCAAAAAATCTGTCCATGGGACTTTCGGCTAAGTTCACACTAGCTTTGTCAGCAGGCGTTAGGCATTTGGGAAGTGTTTTTAACACTCCTCAAACGCCTATGAAAATTCTACCATGGAAGTTCTGTTCACACTGAAGTGTTCGCGTCACGGCAAAATTGATGCCTCATGTTGAGTCAGGAGGAGTTGAAGCCCCCCCTTCAAGTCTATGGTGACGCTCCTCAAATGCCTGGCAGGCGTTTGCAGGATGTTTGTGGAGCATTAATACCATTAAACTTCGATATAGGCATTTGTGGTGTGGTTTTAATGCTTGGCGAATGCCTCAAAAATGTGCATAGGGCGTTTGAGGAACGTTAAAAACGCTTCCCAAACACCTGTCTAACACCTGTCAAATGCTCCTCAAACGCTCCCCAAATGCCTGTCTTAACACCTATCAAATGCTCCTCAAATGCCTGTCTAGCACCTGTCAAATGCTCCCCAAATGTCTAACACCTGTCAAATGCTCCCCAAATGTCTAACACCTGTCAAATGCTCCCCAAATGCCTGTCTTAACACCTGTCAAATGCTCCCCAAATGCCTGTCTTAACACCTGTCAAATGCTCCTCAAATGCTCCCCAAATTTCTAACACCTGTCAAATGCTCCTCAAACGCTCCCCAAATGTTTGTCTAGCACCTGTCAAATGCTCCTCAAACGCTCCCCAAATGCCTGTCTTAACACCTGTCAAATGCTCCTCAAACACTCCCCAAATGCTGTCTAACACCTGTCAAATGCTCCTCAAACACTCCCCAAATGCTTCTCTAGCACCTGTCAAATGCTCCTCAAACGCTCCCCAAATGCTTGTCTTAACACCTGTCAAATGTCAAACGCTCCCCTCTAACACCTGTCAAATGCTCCTCAAACGCTCCCCAAATGCTTGTCTAGCACCTGTCAAATGCTCCTCAAACGCTCCCCAAATGCTTGTCTAACACCTGTCAAATGCTCCTCAAACACTCCTCAAATGGCTAACACCTGTCAAATGCTCCTCAAACACTCCCCAAACACCTGTCTAAGGATATAGGGGTGTTTGGCAAGAGTTAGAAATAAGTAAAGTGTGAACGAGCCCTTAGGTGTTTAGGAAGCGTTTTTAACGCTCCTCAAACGCCTATGAAAATTCTACACAGTGCTGTTCCCACTGAAGCATTGGCGTCACAGAAAAATTGACGCCTCATGTCCAGTCAGAACGAGTTGAAGACCCCATTCAAGTCTATGGTGATGCTCCTCAAACACCTGGCATGTGTTTGCGAGGCATTTGTGGAGCGTTAAAACCATTAAACTTCATTATAGGCATTTGTGGTGCGGTTTTAATGCCTATCAAATGCCTCAACGCGCATAGGGCATTTGGGGAGCATTAAAAACGCTTCCCAAACATCTGTCTAACGCCAGTCAAACTCTATAGGGGCATTTGGCAAGAGTTAGAAATTAGTCAAGTGTGAACGCGCCCTAAATGAGGCATAACAATGAGTAGATTATATATAAAAACAAAATTAATGGATTGAGCGTTACATGAAGATCTCACAGATTGAAACAAAAAAAGCTGGTTGGATACTGTATATCAATATATATAGCAGCCTAGTACACATTATAGTGACAGAATTAATCCACACACATATATTGCCACATAGATTACTAAAAAGAAAGGCATCATAAAAAATTGACGCGTTTCGTGAATCTTCTCCTCTTTGGAGTAGTATATACCACCCGTATAAAATCTGTAAGAAACCAGCTTGATCACCCGATCATTGTTGTGGCACCTCCAAATGGTGACCACCACATAGTGCCTGGCCCGGGAGTTGTGGAAGGGGTACAACACACCCTGCCAGGATAACCAACGAGCGGTGCAGGGAGGTATAAAGGTGGAATCTGAAAAACCCAAAGTCCCACCTGTTGCCAATCATACTGGAGATCCATCCAGCCACATGGCCGCACAAACATCCAGGAGTGAGTGTTATGCAGGCCATAGACGGTTCATTTATCGGCCGATTTTACGTCCGAAAAACAAAACATCGTTCGTTCTGTAATCCGATGGTGCCACCAATGATTGCGAAAATCGTCCGTTTTTCACGAATTTTCCAGCATGACCGATAAACAAAATGAGGAGGAATCGCAAAAATTGGCCGAAGCTATTGCCCCACTAACAGTGCGAAAATCGGCTGATTATTCTTTCGAAGGAAAAATCAGCCGATAAACTAAAGGTTAGGAAAGGTTAGATCTTCTCTCCCATTTTAAATGCTATTAAAGAGGAACTAAACCCAACGGTTTAAAAAAAACAGTTACATTCCCGACATGGTGGAAATGCTAACTGTCATTTGCTTGTTTTCTCAACCAAACTGTCAAACCATCAAATGGCTGGAGTCATAACGGATCACATGTGCAGCACCGCGGCAGTTGCAGATCAAACGGGGGCTAAGCAGATTGACGGCCGAGCGGGACACTCGTCATTGTAACTGGGCGTCATATGACGTAGTGGTGCAATCTGTCACCGGCTGTGTCCACGGGACACATTCAATGACATTTCACTACACCAGCCCGTTGCCAGTGTCATGTGACCAATCACAGCAGATCACATGACAATTGTATACAATGGATGTTGTTAGCTGTGACTGGTCAAGGCAGTCACATGATACAGACAGGGACAATCACAGCCCATCTGTGTCATGTGATCAGCTTTGCCCAATCACAACAAAAAGACTGAATTAATCCGTTTCATTCAGTAACAATGATTGCAAATATCAATGAAATGCATTGGTATTAGCAATCATAATGTGTTAAAAAAAAAATCCTGATCACTTGCCCAGAGTGTATTGCTTTGGTTACTTTGGTTACAGTGTGCTGAAAAATAAAATAGTAAAAAAAAAAAGAAAAAATGTAATAAAAAATAATAGAAACATTTGAAAAAAATACAAATTCAATTATTATTATTATTTTCACCAAAGGATTACATTTTGACCTAAATTTATGGAGAAATGTTATTTATTTGCAAAATTTTACAAAGAAAAATGCGGGTTTTTTTCAAACGTTTCAGGCGGTTTTTGTTTTATTTAGCAAAAAAATAAAAAAAAAGCTCAGTGGTGATTAAATACCACCAATAGAAAGCTCTGTTTGTGGGAAAAAAATAAAAATTTCATAGGGGTATAATGTTGCATGACCGCGCAATTGTCATTCATTCGCTGAAAGTTGGCCTGAACAGTAAGGGGGGTATAAGTGCCCGGTATTGAAGTGGTTAAATGCAATTGACGGCTTTTTTTTCCTTCACTATAGCTCTGAGAAGGAGCTGTCAATCGACCTGCCGCTAAAGTAAACAAAGGGGTGGGGTCACCCAGTGACCCCGCCCCTTTGTTTACTTTAGCAGCTGGGCGAAAGACAGCTCCGTCTCTGAGCTATAGTGAAGGAAAAAAAAAATCCTGGCAATTGCATTTAAAAAACCGGCAATCACATTTAGCTGTGACAAGTGAACCTGTCTGTATACACTGCTCCCTCACTGTATACACTGCTCCTCTCCTGACCCCTCCTTGTACACACTGTCCCCCCCTTCAAAGTGGACCGGTCACTTATATGCTATCACATAGGGGACTCTTGGTCTCCTATGTGATAGGAATAAAATCATAATTTTAAAAAAATTTAATAAAAAGTAAAATTTTATAAAAAAAAAAAAAAAAAAGCCTCCCCACCCTCACATACGCAGACATTTCAGTTACAGTTTTTTGGCCAAGTGCATCCTAAAGTTTCTGTTTCGGCACCAGAATTTTCATTTTGGCGCACCACCACCTAAGAGGGTTCACAGCTGAAAAGAGGTGCCGCCTGGTCCTTAGAACGTGTTGACTTGGTTTATTTTAGAATGAATGCTTTTGGTGCTCTTTCATCTACCTCTCCAGGTTTGCATGTCCATAGAGGAGAGTGCTCTTCCAACCAGGGGCGGACTGACCATTTGGAAACTCGGGCACTGCCTGAGGGCCCGGGGTCAGTAGGGGGCCCTATGAGATGCCTCTGGTACCTTTTTCATAGGCTTTTTTTGAGTTTGGGCAAGGACACAGGGGCCCCATGATCCCCTATTACCCAGGGGCCCCATGAGTTGTCAGTCCACCCCTACTTCCAACCCTCTTCTGACTCGTGTCTCCTGGGACATCATAGACACGAAAGGGACTATTTACTAAAACTAGAGAGTGCAAAATCTGAGCTCTGTAAAGAAACCAATCAGCTTCCAGGTTTTATTGCCAAAGTTTAATTGAACAAGCTGAAGTTAGAAGCTGATTGGCTGCCATGCACAGCTGCACCAGATTCTGAGCAATCCAGTTTTAGTAAATCTCCCCCTAAGGCTCTATCACACATGCAGATGGGGGGTGGTCAGGGGCGGACTGACAACTCATGGGGCCCCCGGGTAATAGGGGATCATGGGGCCCCTGTGTCCTTGCCTAAACTCAAAAAAGCCTATGAAAAAGGTACCAGGGGCATCTCATGGGGCCCCCTACTGACCCCTGGCCCTTAGGCAGTGCCCGAGTTTCAAACTGGTCAGTCCGCCCCTGGGGGTGGTACAACAGGAAGTTCAGCATCAGTTTACCGCTCACCTCAAGCCTACAATACACCTGGAGGGGGCTGTTCAAATTTAACACGGCATGTCAAATTGACAGGCAGCAGCACCACCTGTCAAACCGAGCCATTCAAGTCAATGGGACAAAAGCTGGGCTTATGTTTGCAGCGCACTAGTCCCATTGAAAACTGCCTTTTGCCAATAAACAAGAAGAAAAAAATCCATTGAGGGGGTCATAAGAGCACCTCCTGAATGCCTGGCATCCGCTGCTTGGCCACACTGTGAGAAGCGATGCACTGCATATCGCTTTTCAGAGAATGGCCAGTGTAATCTTAGCCAAAGGGATGTATCTATAAAAAATGGGCATAGCGGTGCACCCATCAAAACCGCATGCAAATTTGATCTGCGTGAATGGGGCAAAATCAAATGTTCTCAGGATCTTTTTTTAACAGATCGAATAGGTGAATGGGGAAAGTACCACATTATGGCCAGTAGATGGCACTTATGATATGAAAATGTCTGCTCCTCTGCTCCATCTAGTGACCATATTGTGGTATTGTCACCATTCACATATTCAATCTGTAGAGCAGTGTTTCTCAACCTTTTTTCAGTCAAGGCACCCTTTAAAATTATGGACAGTCCCGAGGCACCCTTTAAAATTATGGACAGTCCCGAGGCACCCTTTAAATTTATGGACAGTCCCGAGGCACCTTTTAAAATTATGGACAGTGTCAAGGCACCCTTTAAAATTATGGACAGTCCCGATGCACCCTTTAAAATTATGGACAGTCCCGAGGCACCTTTTAAAATTATGGGCAGTCCTGTGGTACCCTTTAAAATTATGGACAGTCCCGAGGCACCCTTTAAAATTATGGACAGTCCCGAGGCACCTTTTAAAATTATGGACAGTCCCGAGGCACCCTTTAAAATTATGGACAGTCCTGTGGTACCCTTTAAAACTATGGACAGTCCCGAGGCACCCCATTCTAAAATGTGCAAAACTACTCTTATAGTTTTATATAACGCTGCAGCATCCACACATGTAGGACACCCAACATTAGTGGTGATTTATCATTCCAAAGCAAGTACACTTTTGCACACTGGTACTGACTAGTATTCCAGTGTTTCTCCTCTCCCTCAGTTTTTTCTCCATAACTGAGCTAATGTGACCCCAGCACTGATGGCAGGGGAGGGTCAAACTAGGATGCTGTGCAGGCAGCTGGCATCCTCCTTATCAACTGATGATGTCATTGGTTGTCAGGATGCCGGCGGCTAGTGGTTTGTGATGGTGCACAATGAAAACCGGTGGCTTTGTGTAACTAAAAGGCCGGCTTGTTCCACCCGATGGCTTGTAAAAATATTTTTATGCAATTTTTAGACATTTTGCCAAGGCACCCCGGAAGAAACCTCAAGGCACTCCAGGGTGCCTGGGCACCCTGGTTGAGAAAGGCTGCTGTAGAGAATATAACCTGAGAACATTCAATGGTACATAGAATATTCAGATTCTAGGGGCAAACTGCTATACAATTTTTTTTTTTAATAAATGCACCCCTAAATTATCAAAAAATTCCCTCCTGGGATTTCTAACTCTACCTCACTCTGTCCAAAAGAAAATGAAAGTTGGGGCTGAAGTTGAGCTTTAATCATTCACTGATCATTATACCAGCTGCTGTGGGTGACTACACTTTGAACACAGGCTCTGCTTTTAGCCTTACATTATTACTGAGCTAGGGAATATTTTATTCCCATTAACAATTGAACCTTACTGCCGGCTTCCTGATAATTGTTACCAATCTGCCCCTTTGTATAATACACCGAACAGGTAAAACAGACTGTAAATTGTGATCTTACTGCAAAAAAAAGGACCATAAAGGAGAACAGTGTGACTGTATCAAAATTGTTATATACTATATTTAGGAACAGCAAATTTAAAGGGAAGATAGAAGTACCATTTTATTTGTGACATCACAGATATTCCATTGTAGCAATTATATATCCTTAAAATGTAATGAAATCACAGCTGGCCCTAAGACACGTTTTGGGCGCACGTTCTCCGCAGCTGTGTTTGTAAAGCAGTTCACTGTTCTCGTCTGATAATATCTATGGATCAGTGGCCGTTTCTCAAACTGGAGCCCAAAATACACAAACTGAACATCCATATTCTAGAGATTTTTTTTAATTCGTCCAGGACTCAAAATGGCTCCGTGCTCCAGACGATTGTCCAGCTGAAGCATATCTAAACCAACAAATGACAATTTCTTATGTTACAGCTTACCAGTCCTTAGATGTAGTGGCTGCATTTGTTTAATTTTTTCAGGCTTTCTTTCCTTTATTTTCACCTGTTGATCTTGCGAATAACACACTTTGGGCTCGTTCACACAGACAGCAAGGGAGCAGTAAAAATAGGCAGTTGATCTATGTTTTTACCACCTTCCTAGTAACCAAGGTGGCCACTTTAGGTCTTAACGTTGTGTGGCTCTGATGCTTAGAAGTGTGGGAATTCTAACTTGCCATGTCACATTTGGTAGGCGTTCCACTTGCCAAGTGTGCCCATTGATGTCAAAGGAACTAAGCGGCAATGCACAAGTTTGCAGCTCAATCCCCTTGACTAAAATGGCAGTATTTCAACATAAAATCCCCACTGGGATCAGAAAAAAAGCATTAAGGAGAAGGTAGTATCCCCTTCCGAACACTTGCAACCGCCACTCGTTGGTCTGTGAAAACCGATCCATTGCAGAACGCTACTTAAAGGGGTGGTAAAACCCATCAAAAGAAGACATTAATAGAAGCTGATTCAAACCCTCAAATTCAAATGGGTCGGAGTCCATGTGGTTTGTAACTCAAGAATATAACCAGAAAAGAACCAACAATGTGGACTCAAATGGCCAAGCAACATGGACATGGGTTGTTTGAGACCACATTGTTGCTTCTTTTCTGGTTATATTCAGAAAGGGGACTATTCTTTAACAGAAGCTGACTCAAGGCCTCCAGTTTAAATAGGTTGGAGGCCATTTGATGTAAGTCGAGAATATAACCAGAAAACCTACAATGTGGACTCAAATGACCCAACAGCTTGGATTTCCATGGGTCATTTAAGTTTATTGTTGGTTCTTTTCTGGTTATATTCTGTATGAAAGACTATTTATCAATAGAAGTTAACTCAAACCCTCAAATTCAAATGGGTCGGAGGCCAATTGGTGTGTAATTTAAGAATATAATCAGAAAACCTACAATGTGGACTCAAATGACCCAACAACATAGACGTCCATGGGTTGTTTGGGTCCATTGTTGGTTCTTTTCTGGTTATATTCTGTATGAAAGAAGAATACTCATTAATAGAAGATGATGCAAACCCTCAAATTCAAATGGGTCGGAGGCCAATTGGTGTGTAACTTAAGAATATAATCAGAAAACCTACAATGTGGACTCAAATGACCCAACAACATGGACGTCCATGGGTTGTTTGGGTCCATTGTTGGTTCTTTTCTGGTTATATTCTGTATGAAAGAAAAATACTCATTGATAATAGCTGACTCAAACCCTCAAATTCAAATGGGTTGGAGTCTGTGTGGTATGTAACTCGTAACGTGTGGTATGAATATAAGCAGAAAAGAACCAACAAGGTGGACTCACAACCAGACATCATGGACAAGGGTTGTATGAGTCCACATTTTTGGTTCTTTTCTGGTTTTATTCTGTATGAAAGAAGACCACTTGTTGCTCACTCCTCCACTGTATCTATGAAGGGAGTCATGGTGTCAGCCAGGCTGGACTTCAAACATGTCTACCTGTCCCTGTCCATTACATGGAGGACAGGAAGATACGTAGTTTACAAAAAGAAGAACAAATTGTATTTTTATCCCATTCAGCCCCAGAGAGGGACAAGGGCATGACATTCCTGGCAAGATCAGGACACATTTTCTGTACTTGCTCAAAAGGTTTTTAGCCTGAAAGATGAAAACTAATGCATCTACCACATCTAAGGACTAGTAAGCTGCAACATAGTATAGTTTTGTTCTTGGATTTAGTTAGAAGTTAGTTTAAACTTCATACCTGATAATCTTAATAAAATGGCACTTCCTAATTTATTACCAGGTATATGAAAAATGGATACCATCCTAAAGCAATAATTTTTTCAATGTTTTTTAAAATGCAGTAACCTGCACTGGCCATGGACCTGTACATCACCGCTGACCAAAAAAAAAAAATCTGAATGGCATTGAGATTTAGAAATGGCATTGATCTCCCCTGTAACAATAAAGATGCAGTTAAGTGTACATGTTGTCTTAACATGGTGGGGTGGCCTCTTTGTGATCCGGTATTGGTGACACTGCCACATGCTCATTCTCTGGGAACTACTTTTGTCACTAGGGCATCACATTGTGTCAACTAGTCAACTCAAGGGTTGATCCTGGGTCCATCCTAGACAATGGCTGCCAGCGTAGTGTGTAGACAACAAGTGCACTTTAACAATTCGCTGAACTGCTTATTTTACCATTTCATACCATTTGGTCATTTTTAAGCAACATAACTTGTTGGCAAGCTATGCTGCTCATCACTGCTGCAGTAGCATGGTGGGGTTATGCTAAAGGCTTTCTGGGTAATGTACAAATGGCACACTTGCTGTACATGTCCACTTGCTTTCATCATTGCCCACTGAATGCATGTCATAACTGAAATGGCTTTGTGAATTTTGGTAACTGTTGTGACCGTGACCCGCGGTTGCGCTTTCTAATGCTTGTGTGGCTGTCAAGAGAACCAAAGCTGGCTATAAATGGCTTACGGTATCATGCTGATTCATTTGCTTTCATTTGCATCCCAGCCATGAATGACCTGGTCCAGTCCATGGTCCTGGCAGGTGGACAGTGGGCAGGTAGTGCTGAAAATCTGGAGGGTCCCGATGAAATTCCCACGGGCAAAAGGAGGAAAGATTTGGGAACTATGGCCTTCTCCACAACTGCCATCAACTTTTCAACAGTCAACCAAGCTACAAGCTTCAGAACCAAGCAGATACCTAAGAGTAAAGGTATAAGCAGTGCAATTTTTATTTGGCTGTGCTTTGTTTGTTGGTACTTTATGGAACTGAGGTTATTTTATTAATGCACTAATCTGTTTCCAATCCACTAATGCGCTTTTTTGCAGCCCTACTGGAGTGCTAACAATTTACTACTGCTTCTATTGCATCTCTTCTAACAGAATTACCCCCAGAATAAAACAGACATAATTCCCTTCTCAGTAAAATGGTGGAACTGTTGTGGTGGTATAGCGTTCAACTGAGCCTATGCATGGTTTGTTGTGTTCCGTAGTAGGTGAGGCCCAAGACTCTCGAAATCCAAAAGTGATGAGCTTCCAAAAACCTCTACAAACCATTTTACATATGGAGGCTAATAATTCAGGATGTGTGCTGATCATTGGGCTCAATGGAAGCCCCCAATTGTACAGCAATGATGTGTTGAGGCTTTTGATCTCATTAAAGCCCAACTCAGGGTGAAAAATGTTTTTCCCGTGCAGTGGGTCTATGCGGGTTAACTGCCTATTTTTTCTAGCAGAGAAGAGAGCGGAGATATACTTTCCTAATCCTCCTCTCCTACCAGCACAAGACCAGTCTGGCACCCCACATGCTCCAGTGGTCTTGAATAGTGGACTGTTCCTGATGTCATCATGCCAGAGAAGGCTCCATAGACCAAGAACAGTCCACCGCTGGACAGAGGAGGAGCATTGTTTTTTTGGAGAATTGAAATATCACGTACCTGGTGATGGAGGCCAATGGTGAGAGGGCTTCCCTTGTGGCTAAGTTCTGGACTACCCTGAGAGTGGGACAGTGGGAGTCTGGCCCAAAGTTGCACAGGTCACCTGAAGGAGTGCTGGTTGGTGGTCCACTCAGAAGCACAGCTGGTGCACCGAGATAGGTCTGCAGACAGGAGGCGCCTGTGCGTGGTATGTAAGCCCTTCTGGGATTTAAATGTTTACTGGGTAGTCGGTTCAAGCCAAGGTCAGGTACCAGGTGGGAATCAGAGCAGACGTAGTCAGATGGGATAGCCGAGGTCATACACAGAGAAGTGAGAGAGAGAGTATCCGTAAGCCAAGCCGAGGTCAGATCAGGGGATAAAGCAGAGTAGACAGGTCCAGGAGCAAGCCGAGTCGGTAACAGGAAATCACAGGTCAGAATCACAGGAACAGGGCACGGGGAGCTAGAGATCATCCAGCAACTTGAGGAAGTGATGAGCCTCCTTATAAAGACCATCTGGCACCAAACTGAGGCTGATGTGTAATTCTGCAGCCATGCAGAGTACTGGCAGAAATGCCACATCTTCCAGAACTTCTGCCGTGGACAGGACCCTGACATGAAGGATTGGCTGAATATAAGCTTTCTTCTCTCCCTTAAACAAAATGAGCAGTTAACCCGTGCAGTGCAGGCACAACCCCATTGCATGGGAAAAAAATTTTTGCCCAGAGTTGGGCTTTAGGCCTCATGCCACAAAGGACATTTTTGTAGCCACTTTTAGGGGTGTCAGGCATTTTTTTTTTTTACTGCTTCAAAACAGCCCTTCATGTTATCCTATGTGGCCATGTACACATAGACTTTTAGAAGGTTTTAGTAGCAGTGGCTTTTACCAACAGGAAAAAACCCCCAGGGCAAATGCGTCCAGGAGCAGCAGGGGCGTTTTGCCAGAAAAAAAGCCTGACGCATGTAAATGCTAGGCGCAGAATAAAAATTATTATTTGGTCAATGAAATGGATTAATGCCCAAACGCTTGACACTTGTTAATGCGCCTAGACGCTTGTGAAAGTTTTAGACACTTTGACAAGCGTCAGGCGTTTTTTTTTTCTGCCAAAATGCAGCTGACAAGAGGAGGAGCGATTTTAAAATGTGTGCATAAAGCCATTAAAGTTGTATTAAACCCTCAACATTTTTTAGCTGAACACATTGAGCACAATAAAATAAATATTCCCCCAGTTAACCATTTGTTAAAGTTCTTACCCTAGCACTTGCAGTTTACAACTTTCAGGTCTGATTCCCTGAACTTCCACAGGAAAGATTTCAAAGGGGATATTGTAGTCTGAAGCCAGTAAGCTTGTAGAAAGGGGGGAGGGGACAGGGGGAGTACCTTGCCATCCTAGGCTATGAGGCTGTGTGTTTCTATTGATGTACCCAGTGTATGGAGACACAACTCTAGTCCCTGCAAGGGTGGCTCCATAGGATGCTGCAAGAGAACGGAGCCACCCTGAAACCGGAAACTTGGTGAGCGGTCATGGCACCAACATACCTGTAACCTAGGCAAGCATTAAAAGATGAAGAAGCTGCATACTCAGTAAGAGATGAAAACCAACTGATAAAAGTGCTTTAAAACACTGAGGGGTTAATATCACTTTTATAAGGGGCTAGAATGACATACAAAATAACCTGGTAAAAATGATAATAGTACCAAAAATCATGTATAGATATCAAATGATACCAATTAAACTCCCAGAGATCTTTTTTAAGGTGATTAAGAAACTGATAACAAAATACATATGGAGGAATAAAAAACCACGATTGTCATATGAGTTGTTGAGCAGGAGGAAAGAAAGAGGTGGTTTAGGGCTCCCAGACTTTAAAAGATATTACAAAGCTGTAATATTGGCAAGAACTATAGATTGGACACATAACTATAAAAAAAGTTGGGTGAGAATAGAGAATGAACTTAGTGGAACAGATTTGGGTAAGGTGATATGGGTACCAACACAGTATAGAGGTTTAAACGATAATGTAAATACATACACTTTGAATGTTTTAAAAATTTGGGATATTTTACACAAAAGTTTGAAATGGACTTTTAATTCAACACTGATTTCACTAAAAAACACGGAGTTTTCCCCCCCTGGTTGAGAAGAAATAGGTGGCAGGTGGTTTAAAAAGGAAGAGGTCCAAGTAAGAGATATTTTGGTGGGGGATAAAATAGGATCATTCGGGGAATTGAAAAAAAAAAGAGGGTGAGATTTTCACTAAATTAGACGAGTGGCGGTATTTTCAATTGAGGAGTTTTGTTGGAAGTTTGCCAAAGCCTTTAAGGACAAGAGACAATTGGAACTTGTTTGAAAAGGTTTTGGGAACACAAGGTGATGGGAAACACGGGATTGCCAAGGTATATAAAATACTCACTGAATTAGATACAAACACAAAGCCAACATATATAACAAAATGGGAAACTGATATGGAAACTGATACGGGAAGCGTGATAGATGAGGAGAAGCAGAGGAGAATTTATAGATTAACCCACGAAAACATTTCTATGAGAGAAGTAGAGATGAACTATAAGTGTTTGACAAGATGGCACATTACACCAAACATTGAAAATAAGATGTGTGTAGAGAGTTCACCGTGGTGTTGGAGGGGATGTGGTGAAATAGGCACAACATATCACATATGGTGGGGTTGCCCAAAAATTCAGGCATTCTGGAAGACAATAACCCATCTGATAAGAAAAATAACAGAAATAGACATTGGTTTAGACCCAGAAGTGTGTATTTTGCATAACATGGATATATCAGTTAGTATAAAAAATCAGGGATATGGTGCTACATAAATGCTGCAAAAGCTCTGATACCCAGGTTCTGGAGGCAAATAGAGGTGCCGAAGGAAGAAGACTGGATTGAAGGAGTTGAGCAGATTAAAAAGATGGAAAGGTTGTGTCATGCCCAGGAAGATAGGATGGAGATCTATAATAGGAAATGGGAGAACTGGGAAAAAGCTAAATTAAATATATGAAATATAGGAAAGATTAAAGAAAATAACAGGAAAATTGCACTTGCTGAGATAAAATGATGCAGAGAAAAGGAAAAGTAGGAAGATGGGATTAGGGTGGGGGTGGAGGGGGTGGGGGGGGGGAAGTTGGAATAGAGTAAATAAAGTAGAAATGTTGGATAATATAATGTATAAATATATATATAGGTTTGTATATTATGAGGATGAAATGTATTTAAAATGAAAATCAATAAATATTTAAATTTTAAAAAAAAAAAAAAAAAAAAAATGACATACAAAAAACAACCTGCATGGACGCAGGCCAGCTACTGCCCCATATCCAAACTGCACACCTACCTGGTGTCACCCATTCACTTTTAATGGTTGCATACTCTCAGACTGAAATATAACACAAGGCTGGAGACCTTAGTTGGTGAGAATGGGTATTATCTCAGAGTGAGTGGTTTTCATATGTGAAAAATTCTCCCTCTTGAGAGTAAATTGTGTTCTGATGGAAATTTAACTTCTCTTGGAGCTCAAATAAAATGTATGGGCTATAGCAATGGTCTCCAAACTGTGCCCTTAGGTCACCTTTATCCAGCCCTTGGGGCACTTTCTCTCCTACTGACACCAACAATGAGGCTGCATTTCACAAAAAAAGGTCTGGCTGGCCGCACTTCCAATAATATCGCCTTTACTGTTGAAATGCATGAGGGAAGCGGAAGATCCAGCTAACGTGTTTCACACCAAGTTCAGCTCTTAATCATAGCTTACTGTGGCTGCATTCCTCTCATGGACACCAGTGATGGAGCACTATTCCTGACACTAACAATGGGGTGCTATTTCTCCCATCATTACCAATGATGGGTCACTATTGCTCCATCTACTGACCACAGGCAATATGTAATTACCACCCCCACTGACCACCAAACCTGAGGCATTCTTTACTCTCAATGGCACTGGGGCATTTTCTACCCCTGCTGGCCACAGTCCTACCCCCCTAAAGTGTGAAAGGTCATAAACTGGCCCTTTGTCTGGGACGTTTGGAGACCTCTGGGCTATAGGTATGCAATATACTAATAACCTTAATTCATATTGTCTTGGCTGCACTTCCCTATTACTGCTGCTGTAAAGGAAGTCCACCAAGGAGACGCCAGAGTACTGCTGGCCATACGTGGAATTAATTTCGGCAAATGAACTACCAGAGCCGTAGATGGCCTTGTCTGCACCCTCCCTTGACATCATTTTGTCCTGAAAAAATGCAAGTTTGTCATCTAAACAGTGGCTGCATCAAGTCAGATGCGGTCACTGTTTGGGTATTCTAACAGCCGCAGGTGCCAGCTGTCAGAATATGGTAGTCTGAAGGGGAAATACCTCCATCCATGCTGGATGGGCGAATAGACCAACCTTTTTTGTTCAGTTCATGGTCGGTAATCAGCGCTCAGGAACAGACCTATTTGGACACACCCCTCTCCTATACTTCAATAGAGATCTGTGTGAGGACACTTATGGTAAGGGGTGTGGCTGCTACTCAGCTCTGACAGCACAGGGTACTGTTGGTGTGAGGCCAGGACGTAGAATTTTCTATATAGAAAAATTTATTTTATTTATTTATTTATTACAGGTACTTATATAGCGCCGTCAATTTACGCAGCTCTTCATATGTATATCGTACATTCACATCAGTCCCTAACCCTCAAGGGGCGTACAATCTAAGGTCCCTAACTCACATTCATACATACACATACTAGAGACAATTTAGACAGGAGGCAATTAATCTACCAGCATGTCTTTGGAGTGTAGGAGGAAACCGGAGTACCCGGAGGAAACCCACGCAGGCACAGAGAGAACATGCAAACTCCAGGCAGGTGGTGCCGTGGTTGGGATTTGAACCAGCAACCCTAGAACTGCCAGGCGGAAATGCTAACCATTTAGCCACTGTGCTGCCCCTTATGGCATTTTCTAGCTATAAATCAGTCCCAGAACATAGCATATGAGGGTATAGCACTCTAAAGAGAAAAAAGGTATAAAAACATAATCAGGCGGGCTTTAACGTTTCAACTAATTTTCTTATTCAAAAATGTGAATTACTTTTGCATGTTTCTGCCTTTTCTAAATCCCACACTTACATCTATTTATTTATTTCAGGTACTTATATAGCCCATCAATTTACGCAGCACTTTCCATATATATTGTACATTCACATCAGTCCCTAACCCTCAAGGGGTGTACAATCTAAGGTCCCTAACACACATTCATACATACACATACTAGGGCCAATTTACCTACCAGCATGTCTTTGGAGTGTGGGAGGAAACCGGAGTACCCAGAGGAAACCCACGCAGGCACAGGGGAGAACATGCAAACTCCAGGCAGGAGGTGCTGTGGCTGGGATTCGAACCAATGACCCTAGTGCTGCCAGGCGGAAGTACTAACCATTTAGCCACTGTGCTGCTGCAAAGTCCTCAAAGTAGTACATTGTGAAAACATATAATACTCAAATGCTAGAAAACACCGCAATGGCAAAGGCTCACAGTGTGCTCCAAATCTCCCTTCAGCTTTTGTTGTTTGACTTCTCAGCAGATATAACTATTAATGAGGAGGTGGCATAATATTTAGCATGCTTCTTCTCAGAGCAGATGTTTCCCAGCATGCCATACAGATTCCTGATGTCTGGCTCATTTCTCAGGCTTCACAGCTAATGTATATGTCTGATTTTTTTGTTTTATTGAGATGAAGAGGGAGTAATGACAGGTATGTGGAGCAGGAACATTTTTGTTCTTGTCCACCAGTAGATAATGATTTTTATTAGGATTTAGACACTGACAACACATTGGGGTCTGTTTTATAACAAAAAAAAAAACTTGCTAGACGAACATCACAAGTAATCGCCCCAACCTTACCAAATTTTCCCCGTAATTTGTCTAATTATTATTATACAGTATTTATAAAGCGCCAACGGTTCGCTCACCGCTGTACATTACAAAGGGGGACAGAACATGTGACAGAACAATACCAATACAATGCAAAACATGAGGGGATTGAGGGCCCTGCTCTTTGGAGCTTACAATCTAGGAGGGAGGGGATGGTGGTACAGGAGGAGATAGCTGTGGGGGATGGAGTGGTAGGAAGAGTGGAGGAGGTCGACAGGCTAGCAGGGGGTGGGGTAGGCTTCCCTGAAGAGATGGGTTTTCATGGTGCGCCTAAAGGAGAGGAGAGTAGGTGATAATCTGATGGGTTGGGGCAGGGAGTTCCAGAGGATGGGTGACACCCTGGAGAAGTCCTGGAGGCGGGCATGGGAGGAGGAGACCAGGGAACTAGAGAGAAGGAGGTCTTGTGAGGAGCGGAGTGTGCGTGCTGGGTGGTACTTGGATATTAGGTCAGTGATGTAGTTCGGGGGGCAGTATGGTGGACAGCTTTGTACGTCAGTGTTAGGATTTTGAATTTGATCCGTTGTGCAATCGGAAGCCAGTGGAGGGATTGGCAGAGGGGGGTGAAGGAGATGGAGCGGTTGGAAAGGTGAATGAGTCTGGCAGCCGTATTCAGGATCGACTGAAGCGGGGATAGCCAGCGGCGAGGCAGGCCAGTGAGGAGGGAGTTGCAGTAGTGGAGTCCTGATAGGATTATTTCCTATTATCGGCTCCATCTAGTGGCCATAATGAGGTATTTTCCTGAAATACTTCAATCAGGAGAATACTGCACTGTGGCCACTAAATGGAGCTAATGATCATAAGAAATAATCATATTAGACAAAATACCATAAAACGTGTTCAAGCTGAGCAAATGCTTGTGACATTTTCCACCCCCTATGTGAAACTTCCTTTTCCCCCAAAGCCCATTCTTCAAAATAACATGCTGAGGATCACAACCATACCTGCAAAACTCCGAATGAATTTACCTGATTTTCAAAAGTCGTAGTTCTTGGTGCGAAGTTCACATTTTGAAGAAGATTCCGCAGCTTTTATATAATTGTTCAATTTAATGTCGCTCTTTGTTTTGCAGATGGCGCTTCCTATGAAGATGTCAGTGGTCATGGTGCAAGTGATGATTCTTATAGTGGTTCCACCGTTCCTGGTAAATATCCATCTTAGGACTTGTTAAGGATATTGAGCACGATGGTTGCCTACTGACCATGCTTAACACGAGCTAAGCTGCTTTATGATTGCGGTGAACGTGCTCCACGACCCCAATGTGCTCCGCCATGGAGATTTCCAACGATGGGTCATATTTGAAATGTTAAGCTTTATTGGTCTTCCAGTTATTAACTACGTGAATATGAAAAAAATTATGGAAAATGAACTTATACTCCATGTATATCTTTCTAAAGTCCTACTTAAGTCCATATACCGAAAGATGCCTGCTTCTATCATTATTAGTCAGAAGACTTTTTTTGAACCCCTTTTTGACTGTAGTTTCACTTTTACTGGGGCACAGACCTGCCAACTGCAGTTCTACCTCAGTAGCCCGTAGGGGCGTTGTCATTGAACAGGGGATGGTCATTGTTGGTGCTTGCTCAGGAAAAGTCAGGCCTATGTAATAAAATTAAACTAAACCGAGGAAGAGCACAGAAGAAAACATTTTGGCTATTGAAGGTCAGAGAAGGCATGTTACAATGTCTGCTCTTAAAACAGAAGTTGAAATGGAAACACAAGAGCTCCTGTGAACAGGGCGGACTGACCATTTGGAAACTCGGGCACGGCCCAAGGGCCCGGGGTCAGTAGGGGGCCCCATGAGATGCCCCTGGTACCTTTTTCATAGGCTTTTTTGAGTTTGGGCAAGGACACAGGGGCCCCATCATCCCCTATTGCCTGGGGGCCCCATGAGTTGTCAGTCCGCCCCTGCCTGTGAATGTCCATTAGCTGACCAGATGGGATATATCCAGGTAGTGGTAAAGAACAAATCCATTCTGATGGGAAAGCAGGAGCTTCTCCCCAACTAAGCCTCCCTCGTGTAAGCATCTGTACCAGCCTTTCTCAACCATTTTACCCTAGATCAGTGGTCTCTCAACTGCTGCCCAGGGGCCAGATATAGCCCTTTGCTTGCTTTTATCTTGCCTTGGAGCAAGATTTCATCCACTGACACCAACAATGGGGCACAATTCCTCCCAATGACAACAACGAGGGATCACATTTCCTCCCAATGATACCTACAGATGGGGCACAATTCCTTCCAATGACACTCATGGATGGGACACAATTCCTCCCAATGACACCAATGAGGGGGCACATATCCTTCCAATGACATCCATGGATGGGGTACATTTCCACCCAATGACACCCATGAATAGGGCACAGTTCCCCCCAATGACACCAAGGATGTGGCACATTCCTTACAATGCCACCAACGATAGTGCACAGTTCTTCCCAATGACACCAACAACAGGGCCCAATGACACCAATGATGGGGCACAATTCCTCCCAATGACACCATCGATGGGGCACGATTCCTCCTCCCATGCCCGCCTCCAGGGCTTCTCCAGGGTGTCACCCATCCTCTGGAACTCCCTGCCCCAACCAATCAGATTATCACCTACTCTCCTCTCCTTTAGGCGCACCCTGAAAACCTATCTCTTCAGGGAAGCCTACCCCACCCCCTGCTAACTTGCCGACCTCCTCCACTCTTCCTACCACTCCATCCCCCACAGCTATCTCCTCCTTTGCCACCATCCCCTCCCTCCTAGATTGTAAGCTCGAAAGAGCAGGGCCCTCAATCCCCTCATGTTTTGCATTGTATTGTTATTGTTCTGTCACATGTTCTGTCCCCCTTTGTAATGTACAGCGCTGGGCGAACTATTGGCGCTTTCTAAATACTGTATAATAATAATAACAATGGGGCGCACAATTCCTTTCATTTACACCAACGATGAAGCACAGTTCCTCCCAATAACACTGGCATTGGGGCCTAATGACATTAACAATGGGACTTGTTTACTCCCAATGGCCTCAGTCTGGCCCCCCCTAAAGTCTGAAAGACAGTAAACTGTTTAGAAATTTTGGAGACCTTGCCCCAGATGTTGGTGGTCAGTGGTAAAAATATTACCCTTGTCAGATCTCCACCTCTGCAGTCATGCTGGTAGCTCCTCCAAGTGGTGTTAGACCTGGACACATGTAGAAACCATCAGATGAGAGCTCTGTTAGTAACAACTTAAGTTAACTTCTCTTGAGGAACCCTGGTTGAGAATGGCTGGTCTATACAGATGCTTATCAGAGGGAATCGGCCCAATGTGCAGATATGCGCCTGGTTAGACCAGATTGAGATCTGGGGCTAATATCTGTGCCACGTTGTAGCACAGATATTGATTTATAGAGCACAGCAACTTCAACTGCTAGAGCTCACGTTGCAATTCTATTCAACATAGCCTCACCAACTTTGACCAAGATCTGGTCCCACTATTAATGCAAAGCTATGGAGGATTATTGCGGGTACTTATCACTGTACCAGAAATGTCCATTGGTCCACATCTCCAGTTATATCATCTAGTGGGGAAGTGAATGGTTTGGGAGATTCCCTGATGCAAGTTGGGGTTTGGAGTAATTTTGCCATTCCAATTTGTGGTCAGCCCTAATAATATTTATTTTTCATTATTAGTCTTACTTTCATTTTTAGACTTGCTAGACTCTTCAGTAGTAGGCTTTCTTTCAAAACCATGGACCACAACAATTTGGTAAACATTGTTAGGTAAAAAAAAAAAAATAGGGGGCAAAAAAAACACGTGTTATTTTAGGATTCTTGTTTTGTTTTGGAATTGCCCCATTGTCAGTGTTGTTCTTACGTTACTCTGATTTGATTGTACCCATCCACCTTGCCATGTCTTTCTCTCCCTTTTTGTTCTTACAGCACTTTTCTGTGTATAATTGTCACTGCCGCCCACTCTGGCTTTGTGTCCGTGCTTTAGCAGTGATGAGCATGTTGAGTTTGAAAATGAATGCATGACTCCCCTGCACTCTTGAGCATTTGTGGATCAGAATGCAGCCATGTTGTGTCACCTGCTAAATGTTTGTCACCATTGTCTCCAATCTCTCATCTAGCTCCCAGACCAGCCAGCCTTGATAGTGGCAGGACATCCCTTAGTAATAGTAATAATAATGCTTCACTCCATGAAGTGACAGGTATGCTGTAGACATTTTGTTTTATTATTCTTTGTGCCATATTCATTGATGTTGTCAACCATTTCCCTCTTTAGGCTTACTTATATTGTATCTAAAGCCAAAACCAAATATGTGATATATTGAAGGTCACTAGTCCTTGGTGTGGATGTGGTGGCTGAATTTGTTTTCTTTATTCAAGCTTCTTTTGCTTTTTCACCCAGTAATCCTCCAAATAACACTTCTTATCCTTGGGTGGCTTCATCGCTCCTCCACTGTGTCTATGGAGGAAGCCTTGGTTGTCACCCTAGGCTGCTCTCCTGATATGGACTACAACAGTGTTTTTCAATTGGGGTCCTCAGGGGTGCTGCACCAACAGCTCGGTCTGAGAGTGATTCTGATTTAACTTAGGGTGAAAGCAGAGAACACAGCCTGCTCCTCCTCCTGTCTCTCACCTCCTTCCCAGTGCTATCTGTACTATTAGTGGCAAAACCGAAAACTGCGCGGGCCGCCTGCCTGCATCCTACCAACTGATGATGTCATCGATTACTGAGGACTTCTCTGTTGGCCCGCACAGCCTTTTGTTTTGCCCACATCCTACCAACTGATGACGTCATCGGTTACTGAGGACTTCTCTGGTGACCCGCACAGCCTTTTTTTTGTTTTGCCCACATCCTACCAACTGATGACGTCATCGGTTACTGAGGACTTCTCTGGTGGCCCGCACAGCCTTTTGTTTTGCCCACATCCTACCAACTGATGACGTCATCGGTTACTGAGGACTTCTCTGGTGACCCGCACAGCCTTTTGTTTTGCCCACATCCTACCAACTGATGATGTCATCGGTTACTGAGGACTTCTCTGGTGGCCCACACAGCCTTTTTGTTTTGCCCGCATCCTTCCAACTGATGACCTCATCAGTTACTGAGGACTTCTCTGGTGGCCCGCACAGCCTTTTGTTTTGCCCACATCCTACCAACTGATGACGTCATCGGTTACTGAGGACTTCTCTGTTGGCCCGCACAGCCTTTTGTTTTGCCCACATCTTACCAACTGATGACGTCATCGGTTACTGAGGACTTCTCTGGTGGCCCGCACAGCCTTTTGTTTTTCCCGCATCCTTCCAACTGATGACCTCATCGGTTACTGAGGACTTCTCTGGTGGCCCGCACAGCCTTTTGTTTTGCCCACATCCTACCAACTGATGACGTCATCGGTTACTGAGGACTTCTCTGGTGACCCGCACAGCCTTTTGTTTTGCCCACATCCTACCAACTGATGATGTCATCGGTTACTGAGGACTTCTCTGGTGGCCCACACAGCCTTTTTGTTTTGCCCGCATCCTTCCAACTGATGATGACCTCATCAGTTACTGAGGACTTCTCTGGTGGCCCGCACAGCCTTCTGTTTTGCCCGCATCCTACCAACTGATGATGTCATCGGTTACTGAGGATTTCTCTGGTGGCCTGCACAGCCTTTTGTTTTGCCCACATCCTACCAACTGATGACGTCATCGGTTACTGAGGACTTCTCTGGTGGCCTGCACAGCTTTCTGTTTTGCCTGCAGCAGTAGAAATAGCAGCGGGGAGGAGGAGAGAAAGGGAGGAGGAGCAGGCTGTGATTTTTACATGGTCTGGCTGAAAAAAGACCAAAGTCCATTAAGTTCAACCATTAAAAAAAAAAAGTTATAATCCTACCCCCACAGTTGATCCAGAGAAGGCAAAAAAATAGCATAGCATGAAGCAACTTGCTCCTGCAGGGGAGAAAATTTTTTTTTTCCTGATCCCCTGAGAGGATTTTTGCCTCCTCTCTGTATACAGGAGTTAACAGAGGAGCTCAGATCAGACTGTATAGGGCTTGATTACAACCCCCTATCTCCTCCCCACATTGCTCTCATCCAGACAGCAGAAATTTTGGGTGTGGGTAGGTAATCAAACAATGTACAGTGGGAATTGAGAGTGATCCTGTGTCAACTCCTGTATACACACAGGATCGAGGGGGTAGGGGGAGGGAACACAGCCCACTGCTCCTCCTGGCTCCCAAAATTTGTGCTAGGAGGGGGGATTTGCTGGAGGGATGTGCTAGGAGGGAGGATTTGGGGGGGATATGGGTTGTGGTCGGAGTGGTGATTTGGGGGGGCTTGTGCTTGGAGGGGCTATTTGGGAGGGTGTTCAGGGAGTGGGGATTCGTGGGGGTAGTTGTGCTAAGAGGGGGGATTTGAAGGCAAAAAAAAACATGCGTGCACTCGAACGCACCTCCTGGTGTCAATGAGCCCTCAGACTGGTGTACCTTGGGATGGTGCACAATTCTAAAGGGTGCCTTGACTGAGAAGAAAAATGGAAAAACACTGGACTACACACATGCCCATATCTCTTCTTCTCCATTACATGGGAGAGCAGGGCAATTGGTAGTTTACAGAAGATAGCTACGGAGCAAGTTATTCTTTAGTGCAGCTTACAAGAAGTGACACAGACAATGCATTTCTCACAAAATTAACAGGTATGTTCTCTATTCAAAATGTTCTAAGCTTGAAAAAAAAAAGAAAACTAATGCAGACACCATATCTGAGGACTGTAAAGTGCAATATATTACTTTTTTATTGCCATACAAAGGAACTATGATGATTAGAAGAGTGCAGTATTCTGTTCCAACCTTCTGTGTGTTCACATAGATATTATGATGGGTTGCTGTACACCACTGAATTTTGCACCCCAAAATCATCATGTTTCTCCTGTGTTGTTTGCCGTTTGTAAGTGTTCCAGTTTTGTTAAGGAAATATGTAGTCTACCATTTAATTACATTATTTAGGACTAGTTGCTGGTCATGCAGATCCTCTGGCTTCTGATTCAGAACAAGTATAAAGGTCAAGGATTCAGTGGCTGCATCTGAGTCCGAAAATATTAGGGCTTTACTGAAAGTAATGTAAAAGTTGCCATACCTAAATACAGGTGGAACATGTAACATGTTCCAAAGGTGAACAATTTAAAGGAGAAGTTCCCCTGTTTGGGCAAAATGAAAATGTGAACTAACGTCAAACATCCTGGCCTCTCCTCCAGACGCCGCTGCGCATTGCAGCCGTGATGCCCTGTGCTGCCAGTGTAGTGGCCTGTACACCGCCGACCAGTGAGCATTGGCCATTGTGAGTATTATGATGGATACTCACTCCGGGGTTGTGTATTCCTGCATATAGTCTACTGACTGCTACATTGGCAGCAGCGGTGTATTTACCACAAGTCAAACAAGGCGTTTGCCTAGGGTGGCAATTTTTATTTTGGGGGGGAGCAGTGCTGCCTCCTGGAAGAAGGGGCACAAATGGCAGGGATGGGGACCTGGTCAGTTCTGCCATGAGATCCTGGAGGAGGCTGCGCGCTGCTGGAGTGTGCGAGATGGCCGGCTGCTTCTGTCATTGCGGAGGTTAAGGTTATTGCGTGAATCAGGTGATCGCCGCGGGGATGGTGGTGGATGTGTGTTGGTCGGTGGTGGGAGGTGGCGGGGGAATTGGGGGAGGCCATTGCGGTGAAGGGCTGTGGTGGTGTCGGGGGGGGGGGGGGGGGGGAGGGTTGCAGTGATGGGCTGTGGTGATGGTGGCGGGGGGGTTGCGGTGATGGGCTGTGGTGGTGGTGGCGGTAGGGTGGGAGTGCTGGTGGGGTGGGGGGCGTCCAATTTTAGTGTTGCCTAGGGCAGCACATGAAAAAAATGCACCACTGGTTGGCAGCACGGGACATTACGACTGCTATACTGTATGCAGCAAGGTCCTGGAGGGCTGACCAGGATTTTTGGAGTTAGTTCCTTTATCATGAAAAGGTGAACTTACTCTTTAAACCCTGACTGAGGTTTTTACCTTCTCACTGTACAAAAAAATGTTTTTATTGCTGTTTTTGTCCTTGTAAGGTGATTTTTCCTCCCTTCCTGCATTGGTGACTTGCACAGGAAGTAAGGGGCCATCCCCAACAGAGACCCAGCCAGTATAAGCTGACACTAGCTTAACAAGTTCCCAGACTTTTTTGCCAAACTATAAAAAAACAGATCTGTGTATTTTTTTTCTATTTACAGTTTTATTTTCATTTTGGATAAAATGTAAATGTACATTTTCTTTTGTCATCCGTGTCCCATTGGGGAGATTTCCCCGTAGTCCCTGTCTTGTAGATTCAACAGGAAGTGAGAGGAAGTCTTTCCACTGTCAAGGGGAAATCCCTTTGTCAATAGTTGTCACAGGAACAAGTGTCCCTATTGGCAGGTCTCTTGTTCGGTTGGCAATTAAAAATTGTGGATTTTCCTTCACTTTCATTTCTGCCGATATTGGTGATCAAGATAATTAGAGAGTGAATTTCCTAATGAGGACACAACAATAAAACCTGACAGTGGTTCTACCTCCCAATACTCTATCCAAATCTAATCTGTCTCACATACCTCTGCCCACAACCACCAGGGCTGTATTTACCAAAATGGCATTAATAGGCATGTTAAATGGTAAACCACACCAAACTTTGTGTTTTTATAAATTGTGATACATTGTTCACTTATTTATTTCCCTCTTCTGTCCATTTTTGGATATTTGATGCTAAACTTGGCAAGAAAATGCTACGGGGAAGAGTGCAGGGGGGTCGGAGAGGAGTCAGTGGGCTCTTTGTAACTCAGGAAAAACACAAAACCAACTCTACTCCCATGGTCTCAACGATGGAATGTTATAGGATATCTTTTTTTACTAACATTTATAGGTAAAGGTGATCCAGGGAATATCAGATTGCCTCTCGGGGGATCAGGAAGGAATTTTTTTTCCCAGCAGGAGCAAATTGGATCATGCTTTACTGGGTTTTTTGCCTTCCTCTGGATCAACTGTGGGTGTAGGATTATAACTTTTTTTTTTCTATGGTTGAACTTGATGGACTTTTGTCTTTTTTCAGCCAGACTAACTATGTAACTAGTATAATCTCATGACAAGGGGCAGAACTTGTGCGAACATAAATCCAAGTGTAGCGCACCTTGTCTATAGAAAGCCCTGTCCGTACAATTGGCAGAAATTTTGGACTTGCCACATATTCTCTAATAACAAGTAACTGCAAGCACCAAAAATGTTCTAGGGATTGGCACAATACCTTTGCAATGACCACTGCAGAAGGAGGAGTTGAGAACACAGGTGTGGAGATCTCTAGGGTCCTCAGAAGAAATAAGAAGCCTGTGGGTGATGCAGCTAGTTGGCATCTATCTTTGGCTTGTAAATAATGCAGCTCTCAAATTGTTAACCTCCTGTCTGAATAAACACATTTGTACATCATTTGGTGTAACCATCTTCTCAATATTCTGCTTATTTGTCCACTGCAGGCACCACTCAGAGTAGGTCCCAGAGCCACAGCAGTGGAGATTTTGGTCTGCACCATGACAATGAAGTGTGGTCCGGCAGCAGTAGTCCCGTCCAGCATTTTGGTCAGCGTTTGAAAAAGTCTGCCGCATCCAGCCCCATGCTGAGGCTCAAATCATGCGATGGAGCAGAATGCCTTGCCCAGTCGAGGAAGAAACTGGGGTCACCTGGAAGTGAGATGGTCTCCCTCAAGCAGTTCTTAGAAGAAAGCAGTAAGCTCACTGTAAGCCAGGTGAGTTGGGGAGTTTGCCCTCTGTTTTATCTAGTAGTAGACAGTTGCATTTAATTGGACTTGTTCTCTAATGCTGAAGATGTACTACGTACCTGGTGATGGAGGCCAATGGAGAGAGGTCTGCCCTTGTGGCTAAGTTCCGGACTTTCCTGAGAGTGGGACAGCAGGAGTCAGGCCCAAAGTTGCACAGGTCGCCTGTAGGAGTGCTGGTTGGAGGTCCACTCAGAAGCACAGCTGGTGCACAGAGAAGTCTGCAGACAGGAGGCGCCTGTGCGTGGTATGCAAGCCCTTCCGGGATTTAGATGTTTACTGGGTAGTCGGTTCAAGCCAAGGTCAGGTACCAGGTGGGAATCAGAGCAGACGTAGTCAGATGGGATAGCCGAGGTCATACACAGAGGAGGAGCGAGAGAGTATCTCTAAGCTAAGCCAAGGTCAGATCAGGGGTACAGCAGAGTAGACAGGTCCAGGAGTAAGGTAACAGGAGATCACGGGTCAAAGTCCCAGGAAACAATAACAGGGCACGGGGAGCTAGAAATCATCCAGCAACTTAAGGAAGTTATGAGCCTCCTTATAAAGGCTGTCTGGCACCAAACTGAGGCTGATGTGTCCTTCTGCGGCCATGCAGAGTACTGGCAGAAATGCCAGATCTTCCAGAACTTCTGCCATGGACAGGACCCTGACAAGATGTTTCATAGCTTCTCCAAACCACTTGTTCAGTTCTAGTTGTCCAGAAAATACTCCAGCATTTGTATCCACAGAGGTAGCACTGATGCCTTTATCTAATATCATGGGAAAGGATGGGAGGTGTAGAGATTGTGGAACTACTTGTTCTAGGTACCTAAATCCACCCTTAGTGTCAGGAAGACTTCATTGGTGACTTCATTCACTTTATTTGATTTACACAACTGAAGGGTGTGAATTGTCAAAATGGCAGAGTAGAAATGTTAAAACCACATTATATGTGAATGACAAATGGTGCTGAAGGCCCCAAACCCTCATCTGTGATGATTGTCCCAGTATGACATAGATGGACTCTTTCATGCCTTTTATGAACCAATTGTCCTATCTGTCCAAGATGTGCACCTCACCATCCTCAAAAGAATGTACTTTTTCATTAAAATGTAGGAAAGTCTTGACCTGTAGGATTTGCCCTCCAATGTTGGGCCATTTCTTTGTTGAGCGGTTGTCTTCAGTTATATTCACAGTGTAAATCAAGAATAATATTTGCCTAATCTGCCCAAGTCTAAAAAAAGATGACTGTAATAGATGAATTCTGTGCTGTATCTGTATACATTATTCCTTGCAGTACATTATAACTGACACAGGATGACGTTTTCACCTAAATATTATTGACAAGCACAGTATTGAGGTTATTCACCAAAACTGCTTGTACAAAATCTGATGCAGCTCTGCACAGAAACCAATCAGCTTCCAGGTTTTATTTTCAAAGCTTAATTGAACAATCTGAAGTTAAAAGATGATTGGCTACCATGCCCAGTTGCCCCAGATTGCTCCAGTTGTAGTAAATCTCCCCCTATGTGTTGATGGGATGAGGACTAACAGACACTGAAAGACAGGGGCTCTAACACTATTTATTAAATAAACCTTTCCAGTGTCAGTGAAATATCCAAAAATACACAAAAATCAAAATCCCAAAAAATTAGTCATCCAAATTCTGATTCAAATTCACCGTGTAACTCCAAAATTGCTGTGTACTGGATAGTGTATTATCCAGGGGTGGACTGACAACTCATGGGGCCCCCGAGCAATAGGGGATAATGGGGCCCCTGTGTCCGTGCCCACACTCAAAAAGCCTATAAAAAAGGTACCAGGGGCATTTCATGGGGCCCCCTACTGACCCCCGGGCCCTCGGGCAGTGTCCAAGTGCTCGAATGGTCAGTCCACCCCTGGTATTATCCTCAATAAAACAATAATTAAATCATATAATAATTAAATCCAAAAAAAAGAAGAAAAACTGTTATGTGCAAATAAAAAACATGAGGAACTCAGGAAGTGACGAAACGCGCCAAGGGACGTGACATTGTACGTTGCACGAAAAACTGGAAGTGGCGGAGCGGCCATCTTAAGTGAGGTTTACCACATTTGGCGTTCCAGGAAGCTGCTTGAGGTGGAATTATGGGAATATATGCATTTTTTTATGATTTATAAATGTAAGCGCATTAATTAAAGTCTGGATCTTTTATAATTGAACATACTACACTATATGGCTGTTATTTCTTCTATCTATGAGTGACATGGAGAAATTGAAGGCAGGTAGTATAAGAATGAATAATTTGGGATCTGAAGGTATTCCTGAGGATATTGGAGTGAGGTTCCACTGGATTACTATTTCTGGATTACTATCTTTGAAAACTGGTTTATTATATAATTAGGGTAAGGGTATGTGATTCAGCCACTTAGATGTGTTCACAGAGGAATGTGTATATAGAAGTTTACTTATGTGTATATAGAAGTTTACTTGTGTTTTCACATTTTTGTGTTTTTATTTGCACATAAAAGTTTTTCTTCTTTTTTTGGATTTAATTATTATATGATTTAATTTTTGTTTATCGTTTTATTGAGGATAATACACTATCCAGTTTTCCTTTTTTTTTGGAGGTACATGGCAATTTTGGAGTTACACGGTGAATTTGAATCAGAATTTGGATAAATAATTTTTTGGGATTTTGATTTTTGTGTATTTTTGGATATTTCATTGACACTGGAAATGTTTATTTAATAATTTTTTGGACTTTCAAGGGTGAAAGTGGGACTTTCAAGTGTCATTACACAGGGAGTTTATTTTATTATATCACAGTGTACTATTAATTTTGGATACCGATTTTTAATTCACAGAGGGGCTCTAACACTGTCCACTCACATAACTTTTTCCTGTTCAGCCTACAGAAAAAAGTTACAGGAAAAAAGCAGATACACAGCATGGATGAATGAAGCTGCTATTGTATTTTGACAGCCGGCCCCACCAGCTGTCAAAATACCCATCTGATTGGATGCAAGTGCTGTTCGCCCAATAGTTTTGCACCTGGGCTCCTTCGATTTTTCAATCGAGGGATGTCAAGTAGTAGACAGCCGACAGAGCCACCAACTGAGCAAACTTTGGGCGGTTCATGGCTAATAAAATTTCCTCTGCGTGTGGCCAGCTTAAAAGAGCGGCCATAACTCTGAGGAACAATCAACAAAATGTAAGCTTGATACCTTCATATAGTTGACAAAGCACGCTTGAAATGTACACTTGATATAAAACGTCATGAAGGTACTGAAAGTAAAAAGAGACCATGGCAGACAACATTAAAACACTGAGATTAATTAGACAATATTATATTTATACCAAACTACCAACATTTGTTGCGACATTTGTATGTGCAAAGAATATATGCGAGCGAAAAAATATCAACAGCAGCTAGCATTAAAGGTGAACCTCTAGACCTCCAAATAGTACAGTAAAATATAAATGCAATGATAAAATTAAAGATAATAAACCGTGAGCGCTAATAAAGCGCTTATAAAGTGATAAGGTGATCAATCGTCTCTTACTGATGTCTTAAAAGAGTATAAAATCAAACAAAGTGACTGTAATACGTCATATACAATGCAAAACAAGTACAGAAAATTAGGTAATCCGTGCTGGTGATCCTATATGGTGACGGCCAATAATATAAATGCACTCACCAGAAGCGCACGAAAAATGCGAAATGTGTGTAAACATCCAACAATGGTCATCAAGGTCTGTGCTAGGACTGCGGGGTCATCAGGCACACTCAAGGCACACAGGGTAACACCACTCTCAAAGGGCACACGCTGTTTCCAGGGACAGCTCCACGTTGTCATCAGACCATCAAGCCAGGGATATTACAGGGAAAGATAAATTTATGGTAAGTAAAATGGCCGCCGGCCTTCCTGGTGACCGTGTGCGGCATGACGTCACTCTGGTAGGCTCCTCACTGACGCGTTTCGTGCACCAGCACGTTATCAAAGGGATCATTGTTTGTGCGCTTCTGGTGAGTGCATTCATCATATTACTGGCCGTCACCATATATGATCACCAGCACAGAGCACGGATTGTGATGGATTTGGTAAAATGTCTATTTCATTTCATATTGAATATATATATATATACACACTTTTTTATACACATTTTTATACATATTTACTTTTATATTCTAATACTATTTCTTTCCACATATTTATAAATGTTTAGCATGAATATATATGTTGTGTGAATATTTTCTGCCTGCTGGGCTTTGTGGTACTTTAAGAAATCCTTGCTTTAAGAAATGTTTGCTCACAGGCACAGACCCCCTCCCATCATGTGATTTCGAAGACAAAAGAATGTTTTTAATTCTATAAGATAAGACTTGGAAGAAGATCACACCTATACCATGACGGAGATTGTTTTCGTGTAAAGTGGCCAATCAAAGACTAATATAATGCTTATGCTGTTATCACGTGATGTTCGCATCATTTTTCATATATAAACTCACGGTTTCATTTCAATAAATTAGTGAGAAGTTTTCACAGACCAAACGTGTCAGTGTGAGTTTCTTTATGTGCGCACATTCCAGGGCTGGCCAGCATCATAAATTAGGACAGGAACAGATAAGCACTGGACAATTCAGTCCTCAACTAAATCAGGATCACCTAATTTTTTGTACTTGTTTTGCATTGTATATGATGCATTACAGTCACTTTGTTTGATTTTATACTCTTTTAAGACGTCATTAAGAGACGATTGATCACGTTATCACTTTATTAGCGCTCACGGTTTATTATCTTTAATTTTAGCGCTGCATTTATATTTTACTCGACATTTGTATATGTGATAGTTACTTGACCACTATTAGCCTTTTTTCTTTTTATAGGACTTGATCACTCTTGTTTTTATATCTGATTGTAATCAAAACTTTCATAGGTTGTCATTTTCAGGTTTCTAGCTGAAAATGTATTTTGCTCCTTGATACAACATGCTAAAGAAATAGGGCAACTACGGTATGTGGCAGTAGTTGATGCTGTATGTTTTGGATGTTACGTCATTTTTCGTAGAACAAAATTGTATTCCAGATGTTGAAGAAGGATGTTAGGGAAGAAAAAGGAATACGATATATAGAAATTGAAGGCTGCACTAAATTATAATAATTATTTGTGACAGCACAATACATACTGTATGCAACGGCCTCCTAGACTAGATTGGTAGAGAGGTTAAAGTGTTACTAAACTCACATCAGTAAAATCAGTCTGAAGAAGGAGCCTATTGAGCGTGCTCCGAAGTGAATTACCACCCCCTCCACCACCTACATCCGACTCTGCTCTCCTAGCTTCATTTTGATGCACAGGCACATCCTGGACTCTACTTCCTGATCCTATAGACAGAGTTTGCTGCTGGACAGCTGAATGTCCCACCTGGATCTAATTACCAAACAATGAGTCTTTTTAACTATTTGTCTTGTAAGTGCAATGTATCCTTTGTTTACTAAATAAATTGTCAATATTGCACTTAGAGGCGCCTTCCTCTTTTTCTTGTATATGCAGTAAAGCATGCTTGTTATACTCACTGTGGTACCTAAGGGGTTAATCCTCTGCATTGTGTAAAAAGGCTGTCTTCTCGGATCCTCCTTTTCTTCTACTGTCCCCAATCCATCTCCTGATAGAACAGAGCCTTGGGGGCAAGCTGCACATGCTCAGTTTTGTGTGTATTGCTAGAGAGTTTTTTTTTTCTCTTAGAGAGTGCATGTGATCAGCACAGGGCCAATCAGCGCTGTCCAGGCAGAGGGTCAGGGGTCCTGCAGCTTCATAGGACAATCAGGGGAGAATAAAAACTCCTCCTACAATCTTTAACCAGTGCTCTGCTGAACACTGATAGCAGTCACAAGACTGTACTAACTGCTGATGAGAAAAGGTATTTAGCAGTTTATATTTACTAAAATAATCACATTTCCATGTTGTGTGTACTGTGGGAGAGCAGATATAGTGAATGCAGGGTCCGGGGTGACTGGATATAGTGAATGCAGGGTTCTGGGAGTACAGTGAATGCAGGGTCCGGGGGAGACCAGATATAGTGAATGCAGGGTCAGGGGGAGACCAGATATAGTGAATGCAGGGTCCCGGGAGACCAGATATAGTGAATGCAGGGTCCGGGGAGACCAGATATAGTGAATGCAGGGTCCGGGGGGAGCGGATATAGTGAATGCAGGGTCCAGGGAGAGCGGGATATAGTGAATGCAGGGTCCGGGGAGACCAGATATAGTGAATGCGGGGTCCAGGAAGACTGGATATAGTGAATGCAGGGGGGGAGACCGAGTGATGCAGGGTCCAGGAAGACTGGATATAGTGAATGCAGGGTCGAGGAGACCAGATATAGTGGCAAGACCGGATATAGTGAATGCAGGGTCCTGGGTTTAGTAACACTTTGGCCATTCTGGGTCTCGCTCGATTGCTTCCCCCTGCCTTCTAGTGGATTCTAGAATATAGTGGGCTGGAAGAGGCAGACTCTGGGCCTGAATATTCACGTGTTCTCAGCCAATCCCTGGGGGAGAAGATGCCCAGTAGGTGACTGAGCAGTGCATAAATAGACTGGGACCTGGAGCAACAGGGTTCTTGTCCTGGCGGAGAAGACCCAGCCTAAAGGGATGCCCATCTACGCAAAATAGCTTAGGTCTGCCATCTTACTGAAAAGAGCTGGAGTCCATTCAAAGGTGGTTCACTGGGGATCGGGCCTGGAGGTTCATAAGAGAAGTGTCTGGCTAATATTAGACAGAGGCATCCAAGTACATGGGGACATTGTGAGTACAGGCCGGAGTGTGAGATCCTAGTAACTGTTGCTGCTGTAACCCTTTGAGCAATTGCTCCAGTGTTGCTGAATTGGGACTGTTCTTGTGCTTGGAGTCCCTGAGTTGTTCTCCTATTGTCAGTCAAGAGGGGAGATATCCTGCACCCTGTCCAACTTCAACAAGTATTAAATCTTAAAAAGACAATCCCTGTCTGGTATTTGAGTTATGAGACTGTTTCTGCTGCCATGTGTGTCTGGCTGCTTTGCACCCACTTGGGAAAAGAACCTGGGGCAAATCTACGGGACCCATTAAGGGGTCTGCGCTACACATATAATGCTTATATGGCCATCTGGGCAATAAAAAAACCCTTCTGGATAGTAACTGTTCTTGAAAGTCAATTCTTAACATTGAAGAGTTTTTTGGGGGGGTTTTTACAGCATCTCTAGGCAAAACTTTCTTTTGTTTTGGATAGAATGATGGATTAGATCAATTTTCAACAGTGCTTGTCTGGAGATCCTCTTTAGACATTACCCAATCATAAACTGGCCCCAAGTGTAGTCTGCTTTTGTATACTGTATGCGGAATAAAGCAGCTGGTATAATGACAAGTTTAAGAGTCGGTTTTAAACTTTATTGAAAGCTTCCTTTTTAACATCTCCCGTACTGGTCTTTTAATCTGATTAAAATAAACACTGTCACTTCCTATGTTTTCTTTTTTTTTTTGTAGATTCGGTCTGGAAGCCAGGAAAACCTTCTAGACGAAGTCATGAGAAGCTTGTCTGGCTCCGCTGAATTATCAGGATTACAGTCTCCGTCACAGCTGTCTCCTGGCCTAGCACTGGGTGACAGTAAGACTGGAAAAGCAGACCAGTGTGCACGACCCAACCCTCGGAAAACAGAGAATATGCGATTCACATTCCCTGTAGAGACAGTCACACAATCTATAGATGGAGACGCCGCTCTAAGTCCAGGAATGGCATGTACAGCACAACAAACAACTAAAGAGCCCAGCCAATATGCCACCTTACCTCGTGCTAGCAGTGTGATCTCCACTGCCGAAGGGACCACACGTAGGACAAGTATTCATGATTTTTTATCCAAAGACAATAGGTCACCTGTATCAGTTGATCCATCACCGACACGGGAAGATGCTCCATCTTTATCGAGTGAGTACAGTAGCGTCAAGCCCTTGCCTAACATTCTCTCCAACAGACCCTTTCCATGTATGGTTAGCAGTGATCCTCAACATTGTTCAGGTTGTGATGTAGTTCGCCATAGGAAAAGTAGCTCATCCGAAGGGACCAATATCATATCCTACACTTCACCGTGCATGTCTTGCCCCTACCTCTCACTCAACCCTGATTTGGTGAGTAGCATCAGTGGACCACCTGGAGATAGACAGTTTAGTGTTCCATCTACTCAATGCCAAGATTGTCCAAAGTCCAGTAATCATGTCCTGAAAACAAGTGAATGTTCTGACCCCCAATGTCTACATAGTAGTGAAGCTGAATCTACCTTACCAGTGTCAGAAGATAATCAAAGTATTTGGTATGAATATGGTTGTGTTTGAGTTTAGAACAATGAGGAACAGTTCTGGTTGTCCAGCGCTACTAAATAATGAGTCTGGGTGTTTGGGCAACAAAGCTTTTCTACCTATAGACACTTAAGACCCACTGTTAGAAGACCAAGGAGCAGTACTCAGATATTGTAAGGAGATGGTTGTAGGATTCAGACATTAGGATTCAGACATTTGTTTACAGCCACTGCATGAAACACCCTCCGTATGTCCGTTCATTGAGCATGCCTAGACCAGCTGTCATCCGTGTGCTAACCTGTGGCAGAAAAAGTGATACTCAACCTAAAACCGTCAGAATAATAGGACATTATTTTTTTCTTATATTATTAATACGTACTCTTACCCCATGCCTTGCAGATGCACACATTTAATGTGCTGGAATAAAACTATACACAGTGTTTCTGAAGTAGTAACCCCTACAAACACAAGATCCTGATAACTTTCCCATCCAGATATTCTTCAGTTATACTGGTATATTTGACAAACGTGCCACTGTTCACAGTTCTTACATTTATTTTGCATGACACATGTAACATCCTTCTATACTGTGACAGTTATATACCCAAAGTGTATCTAAACCAAGCAAAATATAATAAAAAAAACAAGTAAAATATAATATATTGCAACCTACCTGTTCTTAATTTGACAGCTTCATTATTTTTATTAAGGAAAGAAAAACATATATTGCAAATACAGTTTTAAAATATTCTTCCCAAATATATTGACATATTTTGGAAATACTACAACTCTGGCCATATTCAATATATTTCCAAAAAAAAATATATACATATATGTGTGTGTGTGTGTGTGTGTATATATATATCATGTTGAAATGCATTTTTATTACAAAATATATGAAAAATATTTTTAAAAATACATTTCAGATAGACTGTATGTCTTTAAAAATACAAATCTACATTTTTGAAATTCATTTACAAATATATGTAAAAATAAATGTTAAAATGACTTTTTTATATGTTAAAAAAATCTGAAGAATATATTTAAAAAATATATATATTTAAAAATATATATATTTTTTTTAAATATGCTCTTCAGATTTTTTTTTGATATATTGATTTTTTTTTAATTGAAATATATTGATTATGGCCAAAATTGTAGTATTTCAAATATATGTCAATACATTTGGGAAGAATATTTGACATATATTTGAAATACTACAACTCTGGCCATATTCAATATATTTCCAAAAAAAAAAAACCATATATGTGTGTGTGTGTGTGTGTGTGTGTGTGTGTGTGTGTGTGTGTGTATATATATATATATATATATATATATATCATGTTGTGTACAAAATGTGTGTGTGTGTATATATATATATATATATATATATATATATATATATATATATATATATATCATGTTGAAATGCATTTTTATTACAAAATATATGAAAAATATTTTTAAAAATACATTTCAAATAGACTGTCTTTAAAAATACAAATCTACATTTTTGGAATTTATTTACAAATATATGTAAAAATATATGTTAAAATGACTTTTTTATATGTTAAAAAAATCTGAAGAATATATTTAAAAATATATATATTTAAAAAAATATATATTTTTTTAAAATATGTTCTTCAGATTTTTTTTGATATATTGAATTTTTTTTTTTAAATATATTGATTATGGCCAAAATTGTAGTATTTCAAATATATGTCAATACATTTGGGAAGAATATTTTAAAAATATATTTCAAATATATTTTTTTTCTATATGGGTTTGTCTGTCTGATTTGCGATTTTCTACACATCACTGTAGATGTATGGTGTGAACACGACACAACCGTTTTCAAGTGAACAAGCCCTTAGACTTTTTTCCTTTATTGTTACCTGGTTCCTAAGAATAAGATACTCCTTATCCTGGGTGGCTACACATGCTCACTTCACTGTATCTGTGGAGTGGGGCCATGGTTGTCTCCCAAACTGGACTTCATTCATTTTCCTCTCTTCATCTCTATTACATAGGGGGGTGGGGGGACTGGTATTTTACTGAATGAAGATACCATTGTTTAATCTTTCAGCTCAGCCTACAGGAATTGACAGCAATGCTGCATTTTTGGCAAGATCAGTTGGTATTTTTCTGTAAATGCTGAAAATGTTCTGAGCTTTGCTAATGAAAACTAAGACAGCCACCAAATAGAAGGACTGTAAAGCTGCAATATATTACATTTTTGTTCTTGGGTTTAGAAGGTCCCTCCTGTTCTCTTAGGTGTCAGGTTGGTGGACTCCTTATTTAGCATGGTCAACACAAGTTGCTGGCAACTTCTAGATAGGACTGCTGTCTGCAAAACATTTTGATAATTACAGGATAGGAAAACTCTACCAAGAGATATATGTAGGCTTCCAGTTTTTGACTGCCTGGTAAGCTGATCATCAGACTTCAGTAATTCCTGAGTCACTAATATGGAAGTAATCCCTCTGCAGACTCACTTCACTGGCTACATACTTGTTTGGGTCACCGCCAGCACTGTATGTATTTCTACAGGTTGAATCAAAGCAGAGTTCTCTAGTGAAGGGCTCCAAAAGAAATAACATTTCAAATCAAGACTTGCAGGGTCCCCCCCCTCCATAGTATACCCCAGTGATTTACATATTTTATTTTACCCCTGGTTCACATCTGTGCGGGTGGTGCCGCTGCGGATCCGCATGAAAATCCGGGCAGCCGCACCACCTGCACAGAGAATTGCGGACCCGCGGGCAGGTGCCATTAGTTCTAATGGCACGCTGCCCGCACAGGGAAACGCAACCGTACTGGGAACCGGGGTTCCCAGTGGGCTGCGTTTTCCAGAGTAGTGCAGGGACTTCTTACCCTGCGTGTCACGGGCACAGGAGTCCATTCAAATGAATGGCTTTGGCCCGTGCAAAACGGGGCCCTCACAGCCGCATAGGTGTGTAACGGGGGTTAGAAAGGTGCTATTTACTCCAGGCCAGGGGCGGACTGACCATTTGGAAACTCGGACACTGCCCGAGGGCCCAGGGTAAGTAGGGGGCCCTATGAGATGCCCCTGGTACCTTTTTCATAGGCATTTTTGAATTGGGCAAGGACACAGGGGCCCCATGATCCCCTATTGCCCGGGGGCCCCAAGTTGTCAGTCCGCCCCTGCTCTCTTAAAGGAAACCCTGCGCAATCAGATTGTCACTGAGTTTTGGAAAAAAACTAATGTAGGTGCATCACAATACAAACCAAAAACTGTGTATAGTCATACAGGGTTATATTACTGATAGTAGAAAAAAAAAAAGCATAACAAGAAAAATGCTGAAAAAACTGGTTCCTGAGCTTAGTATTAGATTTGTCCTCAAAAACTGAGCTTCAGCTCAGCAGATTACAGCCTGTTAACTTCACTACAATCTGATTGTGTCATTTCCTTTAGCTCTACCAACAAGTACGCAGTGCAAGGGGGTTGTTTGATTGGCTAGTTTAGGTATGTCCATTTCAGGGGCGGACTGATCATTTGGAAACTCGGGCACTGCCCGGGGGCCCCATGAGATGCCCCTGGTACCTTTTTCTTAGGCTTTTTTGATTTTGGGCAAGGACACAGGGGCCCCATGATCCCCTATTGCCCGGGGGCCCCATGAGTTGTCAGTCCGCCCCTGGCATTTATTACATAGTATTGGTAGTTTGAAAGTTTAATTTAAAATTGCGCGGTCAGATTGTATTGTGGATGGTGAGTGCAATCGGTGAGGCATTGCATACTAGCTCAATCCACAAACCCTTTCCGATAACGCCCATAGCCTGTAGTGCACCAGGATAGCACACACTTTTATTGAGTTTCAGTATGATCAACAGAATTGTAAGACATTTTAAATATAGATAATATTTAATATAGAGATAAAAATTAACTAACATGCGTTTTGTAAAATAGGGTGCAACAAGGATACCAACAGAGCTACAAAAAATACAAAAAATGAGTGTTTTTCATTAAAACTTTGCATACTGTACATGTAAGGTCAGAATTTAGGGCCATCAGACTGTGAGTGAGAATGCTGGTAAGCACCTAGACCCCCGCAAACAACACAATATTAATAAACTGTTGTTTTTTTTAATGGAGTTATTTTATTTTAGCCTTCTGATGTTAATGTTGAGTACCACTGTTCTGTCGATGTGCGTGTTTTCTCATTAATGTGTATGTGCATGTTAGGGGTGTTGCATGCACTATCAGAAACCAGCGTAGATCCCGAGCAGGAGACTTACAGAAATAAACATTTGTCAAGCTGCTCAAAAAATTATTTGGTTATTTCAAAAAAAAAAAGATCGTTGTGTTTGATATATTTTCATGCTATGATCGGTGGTGCTGTTTTAGTCTTCTTCGTGGTAAACCGCTACAAAAGCGCTACTAAATTTTAGGGTCAAGAACAATAAACGATTTTAAGGAAATGTATACTTTTGTATGTAATTTTTATACATTTTACAAAATTATGCATTATAAAAAAGACTCCAGACATTATTATTATTATACAGGATTTATAAAGCGCCAATGGTTTGCTCAGCGCTTTACATTATAGTGGGAGACAATACAGTTAAATACAAGAGGGATTTGAGGGCCCTGCTCCTTGGAGTTTACAATCT